CAATAGTAGAAAGAGCATTCTCTGCGATGAAGATTGTGAAAAATCAGTTACACAACCGAATGAGGAATAAATGGATGAATGATTGCTTTGTGACCTACATTGAAAATAATGTTTTTAACAATATTGATAATGAACTGATTATTCAACAGTTTCAAAATATGAAACCACATCAACAACAATTGTAAGGTATGTATGTCGCACATGAAAATGTGACACAGACGGCACACAAGAGCGGAGGTTCCAGCCTTCGGGGTGGGAACCTGTTGAAGAGTCACCACTAAAATTTTAAAAAAAATCTTAAAAAATCGTTTAAAAAGATGATTTGTAAAATCAGAAAATAGGTTTGAAAGTTGATTGAGTATAGAAAAATGTTAAGCATCCCACAACAGCTGTTCGTGAGAACGGTTACCTGAAGTTTGTTGTGATAAATTAATATAATTTTAAAGTTATTTTAATTATTCCTTTCTTATTCATGTGTTTGATAATAATGATAATAATTAAGTGAGAAATATTTATTTATTTACAAGGAAGGACTTGACTCAGAATGAAACTCTAAGGCCTACGTACCCTGTGATGAGGATCAGAGTTTACGTAGTTCGGGCTTAAAAATTTTTGGTAAAAATATTTTTGAATAGAAATTAATTAGAAATAATTTACCATTTTACAAATAAAATAATTTCTGAAATTTTGATATGTGTATTTTAAATTGTAAAAAGTAATTTAATTTTAATTATTTTCTCAATTTTTGAATTTTTGGAATAAAGAAATGAAAAGAGTTTTAAAATTATTATTTTTTATATTTTATGATTGAGAATTTAACCGCTATACTTAAAGAGCCTTATTGGCTCATACGGTAATACAATTATTCTATATATCTATGAAAATTTTAAAATCTCACATGATAAAAGAGTTTAATAATTTAATATATTTTTGAAGTGCGCGCGCGTGCGTGCACACACACACACATATATATTTTTAAAAAAATCTTAATCGTTATACCTGTAAAGTCTTATTAACTTATACGGTCATATGATTATCTTAAATATCTGCAGAGATTTTAAAATCTCACACGATAAAAAAATTTAACAACTTAATTTAATTTACTTAAATTTTTAAGTATTAATATATTTTAAGTGTGTATATACATATTTATATTTTTTTTAAGACTCTTAATTATCATACCTGTAAAGCCTTATTGACTTATACAATAATACGATTATCCTAAATATTCACGGAGATTCCAAAATCTCACATGATAAAAAAATTTAACAACTTAATTTATTTTACTTAAATTTTTAAGTATTAATATATTTTAAGTGTGTATATATATTTATATTTTTTAAAGACTCTTAATCATCATACCTGCAAAGCCTTATTGACACATATAATAATATAATTTTCCTAAATATCTGTAAAAATTTTAAAATCTCACACAATAAAATATTAAATAATATATGCTTAAGTACATTTTTAATTTAATTAATTTAATTTATAATTTATATATATATTTTTAAAAACTTAATTGTTATATCTGTGAAGTCCTATTGACTCATACGATAATACGATTATCTTAGAAGTATATAGAAATTCAAAAATCTCACATGACTAAAAGATATAATCAATAAATGTGATTACAATTTAAATACATTAACTTGATTAATTAATTTTTTTAAATTGTGTATTATATCATTATTTATAAAAATCATTTATTTATTATAGAAATTGAAAATTCCTACATCTGTAAGGACTTATTATCTCACACGATGATGTAATTAATATAAGTCTCTACGAAGATTTTTGAAATCTCACATGGGATTAAATAAATTATTAATTTAAATTATAAAAAGAGAGTTAATTTTAATAATGGGCCATTATAACCCATTTTTAATATACAAAATTGATCTTCATACTTGTAAAATCTTATTGATTTACACAGGATGAAATCACACTAAATGTCTACGGAGATTCTTAAAATCTCACATGACAAATAAATAATTAAAATATTTGCATTTACAATCGATGCATTTTATTATGATTGGCTAAATAATTTATCTAATAAAGGCAGTGAAAAGAATAGAGAAATAAACTATTTTGATAATTCACTATTTTTTTGACTTAGGACATATTTTAAAAAAAGATTAGATTTGGCATAAACTTTTAGCAAGATCATAACCTTGATAGACACAGTTCCAATCCATAATTAACCCCACAAATTATCAACAATATTCTCACAGCTCTTTTTTATTATTTTGTAAAACACTTCTCAAGTATGTTCTAAATTCTATAAAAAAATATTTAATTTTTGAATTTTTAATGCCTAAATATATATCTAGATTAGTCCATACTCTTAATATCTATCAGTATATGTGTGTGTTTATCAATAAATTTAAATTAAGGGTAATAACATGATTTAAATAATACTTAATTTAACTACCAATGATCACGTCCTCGAGTTGCAGGGGCCGCATTCAACGTGGAACCTTGGCCTTTTCATTTCTTATATCCTCAGCATCCAAACCGCCACGTCCTTTCGTGCCAAAGTCTTTTCGTCGGGATCTCGATGAGGCTGCTTCGCCGCATCATGCAAGACGCAGCTTCTCTTCCTCATTTTTGCGTAGAGAAATGTTCCCAGCCTCTTCTCTTTTCTCTCTCGTCCTTAGTCCCTATTCAGATTCCTAAAAAATCCAAAGCAAAATACTAGATCTTTCCTCTTCGTTTTCATCTGGTTTGAATGCTGTGTCTGTGCTCTGTTTTTCTTTATCTTCTCTTCCTCCTCCCAGAAAATATCTGGTCCTCTTCTCTCCTCTCCTACTCTCGGTCTCTTCCCCACTTCCCCACTTCGCTCTCTCTCTCTCTGTCTCTGTCTCTCTCTTTGACTCTCCTCCTGTTTTTGAAATCTCCTCCTTCTCTCAGACTCTCGGTCCTTTCGGATCTCCTCAGAAATCTCTTAATCTCTTCTTTTTATCTTTTGCTTTTTCAGCTACTCTCTCGCTCAAAGCCTCTAGAACCCAGCTCTCTCATTCTCAATTTTCTCCTCCGTTCCCCACTTTCGATCTCCCTTTTTAAAGTGGAAGAGTTTTTTTGTTTTGTTTTCAGAGCTTACGTGTAGCTCTTTGAACGTGCTGCCTTTCTGCTCTGTTTTTCTCACTTTTTCTCTGCTGTTCCGTCTGCTGTGTTCGTGTGTGTAAGTTTGCTCTTCTGCACCTGTCTCTTCTTTCTTTGCTTTACATGCGGTCGAATATGCTCTCTCTCTACTCTCTTTCTGTGTTTTTCATATGGCCGAGTCTTTTGTGCATGCGTCTGCTTTCTGCTCTCTGTTTTTTTTTGTTCTGTATTTGCTGTGTTTGCATCTGCTCTCTGCTCTCTTTTCTGCTTGTGCGTCTCTGCTGTGTGGCTAAAAGGCTTGCTCTCTGCGTCTGCATGTCTCGCCTCTGCTCTTTGCTTCTGGCTTTTTCTTTCTTTCCACTCTATTTCGTGTCTGCTTTGTGTGTGTTTTGTGTCTGCTGTGTGTGTGTTTGCTCTACGTTTCTTCTATGTCCAGCTGTAAGCAAAGAAAAGAGATAAAAGGGTGAGTAAAACGCTGCAGATTGTAGCGTGTCACTCTCCCTGTTATTTATTTATTTTTTTAATGCTTTTACTTCTTTTTTTTTGTTAATCAAATTTATGAAATTAATTTAAAAGAGTTAACTCTCAATAGTTAATTTTTAATATTTTTAAATGGTTAGAATAATTTAAAAAATTTTTTAAATATTTAAGTAGGATTATATTTTTTAATTTTGTTAGATTATTATTTTTTTAAAACATAATCTTAAAAAGTATTAAATTTTATTTTTATATTTTTATATTTTTTAGTTGTTTTTTAATGAATAAAAAAAATAAGATCCTAACTATTAATAGATTATCTAAACTAAAATAAAATAAAATCTTATTAAATTTTTTTAAAAATATAATCCAAACAAGAATTAATTGATTGAAATTATTATTATTATTTTTATTAAATATAAAATATGTCTGAATAAAATACGGTATTCATAATATAAATATTTGATTATATATAAATTTTACATGATATGAATATAGTTTCTCATGATATGGCGATAGTTATTTTCTTTTAAATAAATTGCCCCCATTAGCCTAGAGCCCTAAGTTCGCCACTGTTTATAAGCGCTCAGCCGCCTCACATTACCGTCCCCGAACTCCCTCTCAGATTCACCATTAAGAAAAAAACAAAAAAGGAGCAGTATATATGCTTGTCTCTATGTTGTATCTCGTGACCTTCTTAATTGCTAATTGGAAACCTGAGAGCGCATGCTGTGTTATGTTTTTCGAACTGATTCATTATACAAGACATGATTTTTAACATATACGTATGTTTCTCGACTCAAAAGTTTTAATTTTAAAAAAAAAATATCTTTGCTAAATCCAGCGGCTTCTCTCTATCATCAGTACGTAGACGATTGACACTGCTAATTTAATTTAAATAATCTATTTTTATGGAGAATTATATTAAGATCTTCACAACACAATTAAACATTACAAAATTTATTATCACCTGATGTTATAGTATTTAATTGTGTTAGAGAATACTTCTTAAAACAATTAAATGTTTAAAAATATAAAATATTTTTAATTTTTTAAAATATAATTATTATTATTTTTAAAAATATTTTTATTAATAATTATTATTGTAGGATGTTTAATAATAATAAATATAAAAAGATAAAATTAATTTAAAAATAAATAATTATTTTATTAAATATAAAATTTAATTAAAAATTTCTTTTATTTTTTAGCTCAGGGAGTACTTTGGTGTTATCCTCCATTTATTTATGCAAAGCGCGTCAGAGAACACTTAGAGCTGAGGCCACATATTATTATTTTAAGAAAATGGCGTTAGGTGGGAATCGCAGCCAGCGGCGTACTTTCTCTTTCATATACACTATGAAATATGAAATTTGATCGATTCTTCCAAGACTTGCACAAACGAAAAGCATGCAAAATAAATTTAAATTGTCAAAAAATATTATTTTAATCCGTCGATTTGATTCCTTATTTGGATCCCAATAAACATTTTACAGAGAATTCATGAATTCGTGATCGGATTCGAGAGCGGTCATCAACTCCGGGGGAAGACAGATTTCCAGGTCTACGCTTCCCCCTCCTTCACGACCAGGATACGACGTCACTTTGCCATTAAACTTGTTTGCATACCCACTTCGAACACCCAACGCTTTTCCCATTCCGAATTCATTCCCATACATGTCGAATCTTGGTGAGCTCCCCATCATCACACCGTACGGGTCAACGAACCGACCCAGTTGATACACCATCGGACTCTCCAACCACTTCGTCACAAACTCACGCACTATTTTGTCGTCGTGGTTCGCAACGGCCACATGTATCTTCCACGCCGCCCATCCAAGGCCGTGCTCTAGCAACTCCCCCGACGTCGTTTCTGCTGTTACCGCGTGGATCGAGTTCCCGAAGTACTCCTCCGGAAGAGGAGGGTCCATTCTTGATCTGTTATTTGCCGCCAACTTACAGCTTGTTCTCTGATCACTGGGGAGACTCCGCGCCCTTGTTATGCACCTCCATACGAGTGCCGATAATGATTGGAAGGACGATATCTTGGTGGTGTTGGACTCTTGGTTGGCCTTTGCTTTCAGTTTCGCAATAGACTCTGCCGTGAAATGGAATATTCTCTCTCTCAGACGCGGTGCTTCGAATCTGCTTATGAACTCGTCGTGATGTCTGAAGGGAAGATTGATGAGGGGACCACAGCCCTCTGGGAACCAGCGATTGTGAATCGGCGGGTGTGAGATGGGAATACAAACATCATCGCCGTTGTTGTATCTATCACCTTCCAGTGCTCCAAAGATTTCGGCCCACGCTTTGAAGAATCTCCAATAGGAAGTGCCGTCGGCGAGGCAATGGTTCATGGAACAGCCGATGAAAACGCCGTCTATCAATTCGGTGACCTGAACGGACAGCAAAGGTAAGGTGTGACCGTCGTGGTTGACCGCCCTGTCATGGTCAAAGAAGGACTGGACAACGGAGGGGACATCGACGGGGTAGAGGATGTCGGAGACGGTCATGTCAAGAGTGGCGCAGATAAATTTTGCTCCCTGGCTGTTGTGGCAATCGACGAAGACGGAGTAGGAGGGAAGAGGCGTGGTCACTAGACGGCCGGCAAGGGGATAGAAATGGAGGACGGAGAGAGAAAGGGAGTGCTTGAGGCGGCGGAGAAGAGTATCGATGAAATGGGGATGATTAGGAGGAGAAGGCTTGAGGAAGAGGAGGCCTTTCTGGATGTAGTGAGCAGACAACATAGCAAGATCCAAGGGGCTTAAATAGCAGATGATGCGGTCAGGATGATTGAGAGGAAGGGGTGGCTTGATGAAGCATTCTGAAATTCGTCGGACGGAAGGGTGAGAATTCATTCCGGGTGTTCAGAGATGCCCTGGGATCTATATCTGATGTGATGGATGACTCTTCGATATGTCTATTACATGCGTCGTATATGTAAGTAGCAAAACGCAGTTATGGTGCCTCCTCTCTTTCGAGAGAAGAGAAGAGAAGAAAAGAAAAAAAGAAAGAAGAAAAGGACAGCGCCTCCCCCACCGGTAACGGCGAGCTCTTGCGAAGGAAAAATTACTATTTAAAAATGACGTGGAAAGACAAAATAAGACATTCGGCCAACCATCTATATATTTATCGATTAAAATATATATTTAATTTTTTAATTTTATATAAAATTTTATTTTATTTTTTAATTTTATAAAATATCTTTTTAATTTTATAATTTAAATATCATTAATTTTATATTAATAAATTTTTAAATATTGTCACATTAAATTTAATTTAACCTGAGATCATCTTGTTCTTCGTCGTCATCGGCCGCCTAAGACGCAATGACCTGCGCCAGATGCTGAGCAATTACTTTCATAAATTACTTTCATAAAGTAACGCAGAGAGAGAGAGAAGAAAAAAAAGGTATCTGTGCAACTCATCTGATGCCCACTTCACGGCTGGCACTCTTCGGCCAAAAGCTTGGTGGTAAAGTAACTATCTTCCATTGATTCTTGCTTGACAGAGGTAGGAAGCAAGAACCAGGAATGAAGAACAAAAATAATGCAAATAAATTGGAACAGATCAAACAAAAAACTTGCTACAGAACAACACGCCAGCACCACCCTCACCTTGCCGTCGGTCAACCATCGTATAAGGGGAGCTGTCACTGGTTTGGGGCGAAGCCGTTACCATTGTAGCGTCAGGGATGAGGATGATGCATCGTGGTTATTGGACAGGGAGGAAGGCGTCACTGGAGGGAGGAGTGGGTTAGAGGAAGATGAGAGTATAATGGATACAAATTTCAATTCTTAGAAAACCAGCTGGATTCCATGGTGCTCGCTGAGGAATCCAATTCTGGCCATTTTGGTTGAATTGGATTCCAAAGGAATCACAAATCTTACATACCAAACACACTACTATATGGACTCTAGCTCCAATTCCATTTCCCATGTTCTGAATCGCTTATACCACACGTGACATTAGCACTTGCCCTTGGAGGTTTTGGCCTTTCCATACAGTCAAAAAACAATAATAATAATAACAAATCAGCAATGAATAAGTGATTTGAACGTCAAGAACATGAACATTGGCTATGCAATGGAATGCCATAATTTAGAGGAATCAAACAACAATCCTTAAAACAAGACCAGGGAAATACGAAAAACAGCATGATTCACTGCAAGTACAACATAACTTAGAATCCTTAATAGTGACCCTCTCAAATACATAAACCCTACATACAAGCATTTCAGGCCATCTGTCAATTTTTTCATTAAAAAAAAAAAGATTTTCCAGATTCCGGCAGCACGCTGAAACTAATGGAGTATGCAGGAAATGCGAAATCTCTGTTTCAATAACTCAAAATGAAACTCATCATCGCTCTAAATAATTTCACCATCATCCTAACTTAGCAGAGATGGTTCTCAGAAAGAACCAGAGAGCGAAAACGAAGTGGGTTTTCAGTTACAGGAAATTCATAATCTTTGTTTCAATAACGGCTACTGCTAATAATAAACTACGAACGAAAACGAACGAAGTACTACAAAGTGGGGTTTCTCAGGAAGAACCAACAACCAGAACGAACGAAGAGGGTTTTGGCACCATTTCTCGATTTGTGCGTGTCATCCTTGCGCAGGGGCCATGCTAATCTTCTCTGTATCGTTCCAATTTTATCGGATGTCCCCGAAGGGACGAGCCGAAGGGCGTACTTTCGGTATATAAAGAGCAAAGCTTGTGGAAGTTCAGACGATGTGGTACTCGAACTGCGGTGCCTAAAGAAGTCGTGCCCGGCCGAGACAACGAAGCATGAAAAAGGAGAATCAACTAGCAAGAAAGAAGGCGAAGAAGCTCGTCGCAGAAAGGATGAATCACCCGAACACAACAAATACAGAAGAGATAAAATTGAAATTTAATTTAATTGAGTTTAAAAAAAAAAGAAAAGATTAAAAAATATCCGCCACGAGCAGCCTAGTATAGTAGGATGAGGAAGTAGGTCCTGACAAAATCTTTACTTCTACAGTCTCTCTGACTTTCTCTCCCCGCTGTCTTATCAAAAATTTTACCAAAGATTTAAGTTTCTTTTTTTTTTAATAAATAAAGATCAAATTTCTCTAAAAGAAAAGTTTTTTTATAACTGGAACCTTCTAATTGATTAAGTAAATATCAGGAGGGAGGGTTGTTACTAGTTAGGCCCAAAATAATTAGAATTAGCACTAACAAGCAGTTAAACTAGTAAAAAAAAATAAATATCGAAGAGTTGACTCAGAATAAACTCAGAAATTTGCTCGCTGATCTTAAACTATGACATCTTAGATAGTTAGGCTGGCTTTTGGAGCTGGTTTCTATTGCTGTTGGCGCGAGCCGAAAACTAACTCATCTGCTAGCTTTCTTTGAAGATGTCTTGGGCCTTTTAAAGTTGTCCAAGTTGCTTGCTAGGTCTCCTCTCTTGTGTCTGTCTGGCTGTGTTCATGCTCGAGTCTCTATTTATGTTTTATGATTTATTTTGTCGAGTTCGTATGTTCGAGTCTTTTTTTTTTTTTTTCTATTGGGTCTGTGTTTTTCCACCTGATTTTATTGGGTCTGTACACTTTGTTGATTTATTTTGGGCTTGTTTTATCTTTTGTATTGAGCTTTTAGGTTTTTTTTAGGTTGTACTAGTTTTTTTTTCATTAACATGTATAAAACTTTCTTAAATTTTAAAGTAGTGACATATGACATATGATTACTTTTATTTTTCAATATTTAAAATTAATTCTCCTAATTTTTAATTCTATTTTTCAAAACCCCTTGCCATTAATTAATTGTTATTTTATTATTATAATTATTGCGATGTTATATTAATGCAATACACATCGTACATGATATGAAAAAACAAAATATTATTTCTTTTCTACGTAAAATGAAAATTTATGATTTTAACTGATCATTATTTTATAAACTTAATCAATATTAATTTTTTTATAGGATACTTATTTTCAATTTTATAAGTCATTTTCTATAAATTTTTAGTTCTTTTTTTGTTATTTTTTATTAACTAACGATTAAAGTTAATGATAGGGTACTCAGTGCATTATTTTTAAATTTAAAAAAATTATATTATATATAAATTTAGGATATTAAATATTCTTGAGCAAATAATTGAAGAAAAAAAGCCATTTAACTCTATTATTAACATGGCTGAAGCCTGGGATCTTATTTCGAAAAAAGTGAGTAGCTTGTGATAAAGCCAAAGCACAAAGGGTTATCTTCAAGTACAAAAGATATCGTTGGTCAAAAAATAAAAAGTACAGAAGACATCACAAATGTCAAAACTGGTCATTCGGATATCTCAGTATTCTCCATATGGTGAACATGTGCGCGTAGTTACTAGCTTGGTCAAGCACATCTCAATATTCTCCAACGGCTAGCACGTTTTTGCCTCTAGCAATAATATTTTCAGAATCAGATTGAATGTTAAATTAAAAATGTTAATAGTTGTTGGTTTGTTTAGCTCAATCAATTAGATTCATAGTCGAACCAAAAAATATAACAATTAAATTAAAAAAATATAATAATATAAATATAAAAAATAAATATAAAATTATTACATATATAACTTGAAAATAAAGCTAAATATTCTAAGTTAATTATGAGTTAATAAGCTTCATAACACAATATAACATCAAATGATTCAACATCAATTCTCACAACATATATCCCTATATTAATTTAGATTTTTTGGACTTGAATATTTATTCAGGTTAAGGTATATAAGAAAATAAAAATGATTTATTAAAAAAGGTGCCAAAAAAAGTGAAAACAAAAGTATTATTTTGATATATGTTTAAAATTAGAACAAAATGCACAAACAAAATTCATTTTCACCTTCTTAGAGTGTTTGAAAAGTGAAGGAGGTTTTTTTTAGGGTTAAAATTGAAACAAAGTGAAAAAAAATTGATCCATTTGATTTTCATAAAATTGCTCCGAATCACAATTTTTTAATGGTTCTCGATCTAACCATTAGTTCAGAGCAACCCAATCCAATTTAAAAGCTAAAACAGTTTTGTGGTTCAAACCGTGCCGAAACAAAGACTAGCTGGTGATCCAACAAGTTAGACCATCCGATCTGGTTTAATTTTGAAATCATTGTCTGCTATTGAATTTGTAGTGGGGTGTCACATAGTTTTAACTGCAAATCAAATAGCTAAAGAATGGAATAAATAAATTATGACTAATAAAAATAAAAAATGAAAATAAGAAGCATCTCTCAGACTGTAATTACATTGTAGACATGAGTAGAGAAAGATTAATTAAAATTGCGTTTCAAAAGAGAAGATAAGGTAGCACATACAATAAATATTAATATTTCTTCAAGTCAAGAAATAAGTTGATAATGTATATGAGGATAAATAGCTCGTAGAAGAACCAACCCCTCCTTCAGCTAATGACTTGTTGAAAATCATTTGTGGTGTTTTCCATCTCTTCTTCACAAAGCGCTCGCCATCCACATCTCAACTGTAGGAGCTTAGAATATTCACAGTTCACGTTAAGTTTGATGTGAAGGCAATTGTTATTTCCTCTCAAGTGTCGTCAACATGTTTTATCATTGAAATCCAAAAGCATTATGAAGAGACGAGGCCGCCATGCAAAGTCAAGTGAAATATCATTTGCCCACTCTTTGCAAATATAATAATCTTGAGGAGCTCTACAACTCCAAGAAATGACAAGTTTATCAAAGGTCATCCCAATGGCTCTTATTTCCAAGCACACAGCAAGTCCAGACCATTTACTTGCACGAAAATTGGGAGGTATGTCCACCACGAATACATATTCCGCAGCGCCCTCAGACGTAGAAATAGGAACTTGGTTTGGAAACCATGATGGTATTTCAAATCTCGGAATTGTTGCGAGAAAATCTACCTCAGGTACGTATGCTGACTGCAAGACCATTGAACTTTCATGAACAGTATAGGTACAGCAAAAGTGAGAACAAGTTACTGAGACAGAGACCAACAAACCTGAATGGGCTGAACCACTCTCTTCTCATAGTTAGTTTGAAGGCGATACTAAAACAAAGGAAGTGATCACGTTATATGTATTTAGTGAAAAGAAAATGATACATAAATTAATCGATATATAGATCATAGTGATCAACATACCTCATGATCAAGTGATGAAACTAGATTCCACATTGCATCATATGATAGAGGTTCCATTGACGCACAACCGGTTGCATATAAGTGCATTAACCTTGGTGGCAGCTTTGGTAGAGACTTGAGCCTTTTGCAGTTATTCAAATAAAGGTGAAGTAGTTGAAAAAGATTAGAGAAGCAACCAGTGGGTAAATTGGCAAAACCATTTCCTTCCAGACGTAGAGTGATTAATGATGACAAACCACCTAAATCTTCAGGAATTGATCCCTCATTAATGCCACAGTGGCTCAAGTCTAACCCAGTTAATGATGTTAGATTAAAGCCAGACATTTGAAGAACAAGATATCTGCAGCCCCTCAAATTCAAATCTCCAAGACCAGTCAAGAATCTAAATGATTCTGGAAGTCTGGTTATAGAAGTCTTCCTGGCATCAAGCACTGACAGTTTTTTCATGCATTCCCCGAACTCTGGAAGCACTGAAAGTTTACGACACCAGTAAAGATCTAACTCTATCAAGGAGTTCATTTCCAATTTTTTCGGAAGGATTTCAAGACTTATGCAACACGACAAGTTCAATTCAACAAGCTTTTTCAACTCTCCAAGTGAATGATGAACTGCAACAAGAGATGAGCACCCTTCCAGAATTAATTTTTCTAAATTGGAATTTCTGAGAAATCTGGGGTTTCAACCAAATCTTTGGAATTGCTTAGATCAATAAACTTCAACGTCTTCATAAGCTGATCAAATGAATCAAAATGTAGGAGAATTAGTTCTCACAACAATTGAATCAATATCAACACAGATATGTAAGAAAACAATGGGGCATGAAGTGTCTCACCTGCATGCCATTCCAAAGTTTTATTTTACTAAAAGGTATTTGAATGTCAACAAGTTTGTCCATCTGATTTCCAATTGGAAGAGTTTCTAGAGGATATGACCTCCATCGAATGACCTTTAATGCACTAGAAAAGCATTTTAGACCACGGGGAAATTTCAATTCACTTGATATGATGAGTAACCTGAGATTACACATCTTTGAGAAGGCTTCCTGATGTACTTCTATTTCTCCATCTAGGTTATAAGGCAAAGCAATAGCTTGTATTGCTCCAGATCCCTGGAAAAATGTTAATTACAAGAAGAAAAACATGAACAATGGTTTCAAAGCAAAGCGGACCAAAGGCATTAGAATTATTACAATAACATATGAGCGTTTAGAAATAAGGTACCCACCTCATCATTTTTCAACACTTCACTGACGTCTTCTAGGTTCCACAACCTGCTTCGTCCATGAACCTGACCAGGAGATTCTTGAAAAACAATACTCCTAGCTAATTCTTGAAATAAATCATGCACCTCTAAAATGGTTTCTCCATTCAATATTTTCTTTTCAATCAATAGGGCTCTTTCAATCAAAATATTTATTCCAATTGTCGGATGAAGATCACAACTTTTCAAAATTTGGGTTACTTCATTTCTTTTCCATCCGTTGAAGAAACAAGCAATATCTAAGAATATTGTCTTTTCCTCATCATTTAATCCATTATAACTTACTTTTAGAATTTGAAAGATATCATCATTTGGAATTTGTTTCATCCTCTCTAAAGTTTCTTCCCACTCAAGGAGACTTCTTCCACAAAGAAAAGAACCCAAAACATTAAGTGCTAAAGGAAGACCTGTTGTATATTCAACCACAAATTTAGACAAGACAAAATAATCATCTTCAGGATGATTTTTCTTGAATGCCTTCCTGGAAAAGAGTTGAAGAGATTCATCTTTTCCCATGGTTTTGACCTCGTATATTCCATGCACTCCGTGTGATTTCAACAAGTGCGAATCTCTAGTTGTTATAATTACTCTACTACCTGCACCGAACCACTTTGGACTTTCGGCCAAATTCTCTAATTGACTTGCATGGTTTACATCATCGAGGACAAGGAGAAGCTTTTTATTCCGAAAATGGTTTCCTAGATGAGTGAACATACAAGAATGCTTCCCACGTATGTTTTCCCTTGTGCTGAGATGTAAAAGCAGTTCACTTTTCAGACTATCTAGGCCTTTTCTTTCTGAAATTTCCCTGACATTAGCAAGGAAGCAAAACATTTCAAATTGGCCAAAGATTCTTTCAAAAACAACTCTAGCAAGAGTTGTCTTGCCAATACCGCCCATACCCCAGATCCCTACAAAACGAACATCGTCCACCTCTATCTCTAGTAGTGAATTTATCTCAACCATCCTCGAGTCAATTCCAACTAAATTATCATGATAAGATGGCAATTTAGAACATAAATTGTTCCGTACTGCTTCAACAACTTTTTGGATAACTTCTGTTTCATGCCTAATGAAAAAAAAAAAAAAAGCTTGCATGAGCATATGAATTATAGTCCTTCACCAAAAAATAAAATATGAATTATAGTCACAGCAAAATTTAGAAACAATAAGAAAATATGACTGTTGACAAAAGTATTTTTCACTAAAACAAAGAAAACAGCTTTTTTATATAATAAATATTGATACTGATGCTGATAATGACAAGAATATTATAATCAATGTTAATTTTGGATTGAGCTGGGGTTTTAACATTTACATAGACTTGAGACCAATCTTCAATTTTAGATGTAACTTTTGGGTTCATTGCATTACATATACATTATTTCAAAAAGGAAAAAAGAAAAAACTTACCGACCCCTGGAGTCCCAGCCTGACAAGTAGCTAACTTGTGATAAGGCATACCTCCATTTCTCAACCTTGTCTTTGCTTTTTCTGAATCTCTTTCCATGTTTGGCTAAAGCTTCTCCAAAACTTTTTCTTTGATGTCTTACATCAGATGGATCTACATCATAAAAGACTGGAAAAACTTGTCGACCAAATTTTTTTCGACATTCAAGAATCTCTTGAAGTTCATCCAAACACCATGTAGAATTTGCATAATTTTCAGAGAGAACAACAACCGCGCAAAGAGAATCCTCAATTGCTTGAAGGAGTTGTTGTTTAATAACTTCTCCTCTATCTAGTCCTTCATCATCTCTAAAAGCTCTGATGCCACTTCTTTTGAAAGCATGATGCAAGTGATCTGTGAAATTCAAGCGAACGTCTTTTCCTGCAAAACTCAAGAAAACATCGAACTTCCATGTCGGAGTTGAACTAGAAGCACTTGAAGAGCTTGGGGAAGATTCTTCACCGAGGCCATAAGATCTATCTTGCCGTCGATTCCTTCGAATCATGTGTCCAGATATAGTAATCTGCAACAATATCATCATATAAGTATGAGTACTTGGCAATGAAAAGGAAAAGGAATGAGCTAAGAAATCAAAACTAGTGGTAAGCATTACAAGTTGTGGAGGACCTACAGATATGCAATGAATTAGATGCTGTACTATTGTTGCAGGGCGATCTTTCTCTCTGTTGAGCTCGATTCTGTGATCTGAAAGTCAACCACCCTCTAAAGAGAAATATAAGAAATATTAATGGACAAAGGGATAAAGAGACCTCCCAACAATCATTGCATGAGTGCCAATAATTTCCGTCAAGCTTGACAGGCTATTTTGAATGAACCCCACACCAACGGGCCTATGAAAACTTTGTCCTGAGAAATTTGAGCTAAACCAATCGAGTCCAAGTTGGAAAGGTTAACGATTCATTAATTATTTTATCTTTCGGGAGTATCATATTAAATGGATCAAACTACAAAGGTTTAATTAAAATAAAATAAGGGGTAAATGAGTATCAAAAACCATACATTTTTGCACAATAAAAATTTTGGTTCATAAACTCTTAAAATATGTGAAAACTCTTTTTAACTTTTATATTTTCAAGTATCTAAAACCTTGTCATTAAGTTAAAAAAAAAACGGCTATTATTTTCTGTAATTGTAGGGTTCAGTCACACACTGATGTGACATTTATTTTGACTTTTAAAAATAATGGCTGTTTTTTCTAACTTAATGGTAAGATTTCAGACACTCGAAATTTAAAAGTTAAGAGAATTTTTTTGCACATTTTAAAAGTTTAGATTTTAAAATGCTATTCATACAATAGTTTAGGGTTTATGATATTCATTAACTCTAAAATAAATTATAGACATCTGATTTAAAATTGGAGAAAACTGCAAGGAATTTGAAGATTAATTTTTTCTTTTTAATATATAATACGTGTTAAATTAGTATTAATTAAAATTTTTGAGACTTGGTTCATTTTTTAGTCAGAGTAAATTATTATTAGTTTACGCTATTTCCACTCACATAGAGTGTACTGAGAATTGAGAACGACATAATAAAATTTCGTAAAAACATAGAAAACTGAAAAGAATAAAAGCACCTTCCAGTTCCAAAGTGGGGAGGTGGAAACTGGAAAGCATCCAATGCATTATTGATCATTCCCTTGCTTTGACTGCAATTTTGTCTCTGCTCCAAATTTAATATTATTTTTGGCCGGCAATAATAAAAGATTAAATATTTAATCCCCATAATTTGTACCAATTTTGAAAGTGCTCCCGATTCCACACAATTTACACAGTCTGCTGACCGTGTCTCCATTACCAATGAATTAAGCAGGTGGCATCAGTTTAAAAGTTTTTTTTATATAAATATAAGATAGCAATAGAAATCAAGAATTGAAATCTTTTTTGGCCACCAGCGGGCCAGAGCTCTGGCACCCGGTCTGGCAGGGTGATCCGACCATCGACATCAGAGCTCTAGCTGCCAATGAGAGTGGGGGAATTTTTTTAAAAAATAAAGTATATTTTTATTTTTTCATATTAAAATTTAATATTAAAATTTAATTAAATTTTAATCTTGCTGAGTAAATTTGGAATCATTCGATTCTTTTTTGTAAATAAAATGCTTCAGAGATCCTTATCTGTGATTTTCCCATCTTTTTTTTTATTGTGTAACGATGTCTCCGAGTAGGTTTGGAGCCCAAATTAATCAAATCATATATATACCTATCAAAACCTCGAGCAGGTCCCTAATCTCCGACCTCCTCCTTGATCTGGTCTGTCGTTTGGTTTCAGATTTCATGTGGGATGAGAAGGGAAGGCCGAGAGATGTTGTGATGTGTGATTGATGGGTTAAGTGAAAAGCTCACTAATTTTCTATTTCAAAACGAAGATGTAAGATTAAAAATATTAATCTATAAATCTTTATAATTTTTCTCGATTTTAAATTGAATCTTATAATTTATTTTATTTTAATCATACACTTGTAGTTTGATAGATCAATGAATGATTAAAACTTTGAAGGTTAAAATTATTAATGAATGATTAACTTAAAAAAACACTTTTAAAATTTATAGAAATATTGATTTAAAACTCTTGGCGAAAAAAGAAAAAAATAAAATTTGATTTAATATAATGTTTATATTTTTATTAATTTTTTTATGAAAATTCCATATCTATAAAAGTTACTATTTACAGGACATAACCTAATATATAAATTTAAAGTTATAAAAATTATATAATTAATTTTAAAATTATATAATCTTTTAAAACATCTAGGCATCGTTTCGATCATAGTGCAAAGAGGAGATCGGATACAGTTAGTGACTTAGTGGGTTTTCGAAGCTTCCTTGCACCCTGTTAAAGCATGCATCCTTGGACCGTGAGGATTTTCCAAGACATATTATTGGTTTAACTTTTATAATGGGTGCTACAGCATTTGTTTTTTTTTTTTTTTAACATAGCACATAGAGCTATTTACTCTTGGATACTAAATTGTTTTTTTATGAGTCTTTCACATTTTGGTATCTTAAAATGGTTTTGATCCACCTTTTTGTTAGTACTTGAATTCTTTTCAAGTTCTTCTTTTAAGCTTGAACCTTGAGAATAAGATTCATTTTATCGGGAGAGGTTATGTTATGAATGAGCCTAATAGATAAAATGAGCCTAAAACCTTATTAAATAGGCTTGAGTCCATTGTAGAAATCAGAGAATGGGAATGACAAATAAAAGCTGCAAAGAGTTTTACCAAAAAAAAAAAAAAAAGCTGCAAAGAGCAATGGAAAGGGCATCTAGAAACTTGTGAACAGTCTTCCTTCTGATTCTGCTTCTCTTCTCTCTAAACCTTATGTTCTGTTTCTTTCTTCTCACTATGAACTCTACTGTTAATGCTTTTATTTGGCTATAATTGGCTTTAAATAAATATACATGTTGTTTTAAGCTTGTTGGCTATTGAATATTTCCTTTTGAGCTTTGTTGTTCCTTTAGTCATTTTTGTAATTTTTGTCTATCAGAACCAGTGATTGTGACAGACACTGAAAAGGAATTATAAAGTGATTAGTGATGAATCATACTTTTTCCCTCTGAGAAACAACATTTGTGACTTCAAATAAATCAAACATGATACACAAGTTTAGTAGAAATCAACCGGCCCGGGGGGGGGGAATGGAATGAGGATGTGAAAAGGCACCCCCTCGATCACTTTGAAAAAAATTATAAGGTATGTAAATTTTATAACTTCACCTCTTTATTCTTAAAATTTTACATCCTTTGAATTATATCAAAAGAAAAATTTATATACAAGTCTCATTCAACACAATTAATTACTCCAAGATCTATTACAATTAAGTTTAGGAGAATGACAACACATATTATTATTTTCTTAAGCTCAATTGATAGTAATTAATTATGTTGAGCATGACATTAAAATAATTCTCCCAATAAAAAATAGGATTAAGATGCATTTTTATTTTCAAATTATTTTTTGAAGAACACTCAAAGCCCTAAATTTTTTATTGTAGCAATTTTGCTTTTAAAATAATTAAAACATAGAATAGTCCTTGATATTAAATATCCCAATGTTGCTGTTAAAAAATGTTAATTGGGATTTAAATTTCACCAAAAATTCTATTAGTCATGCCAAACAAATGGTTTAAAATACTGAATATTTTTTGAAGAATAATTCAAGAATAAAAATATATCTTAACTTAAATACTTGCAAGCGATCTTTGAGTTGAATGGGACAAGTGAAGTGAATGAAGCAATTGAGAGAAATATTTACAAGCTAGGACTGGGAAGAGACGGCATGAGCACGTGACAACAATTAAAAAATTATTTTTAAAAATTTGACAAGCTTGTTTAATCTATCAATTTTGTTGGCTAGGTTAATCCAACCCATTTAATATCATGGGCTTGCCTTTTCAACTGAGCTTGCCACCTTTGGCAGTTTAACAAACTAGCTTGTTGGGTTGAGCTTGTTTTTCTGACTTTGTCTTGACTTAGCCTATTTAAAAAAAGAAAAAAAGTTAGGCTTAGATTTACAACCAAGTCTATTGAAGTAAATAGGTTAGACCTAATCAACAGGAGCTGGTCTGAGTGATAAGCAACTCAGTTTCACTTAAATAGGATCTCAAATTCAAGCCTTATGTATGTAAAAAATTTTCATTGGGAGACTCACCCACCAAAACTAAGTGTACAACGTGAGTCGAATCCAAATGTAGTTAGGGCAAAGCTTTGATAAACTGGTTGGGCAACCAAAAAAAAAAAAGAAGGTTAGACCTATATACTTAAAGTCTTGTTTGCAAACCTATTAAGTTTACTTGTTTATATTTTTATATTATATATAAGTGTCGTGATATATTAATTAAAACAAATGGATAGAATATATTTCAAAGAGCTTTCTAATAAGTCTTTTTGTAATAGCTAGCATCAATGACAATTAATTTTTTCAAACTTATTTTATCAGTTGAAAAGTTTATTAACCTTCGGAGATAAATGACTATAATGATTTAGACAATGACTATTTTTTATTTCAACAGATGACAAAAAAAGCTAAGCCAGTAGCAACTAATTTTTCCAACTTTTTATTTTATCAGATTACAAATTCATTGATTTTAGAATTGAATGATTGTGAACACCATATTTTGTCCGGGCATTTTTTTTAATTTAATAAAATAATAATAAATAGTGAAAAAATATAAAAAAATAAAATTTAATCCTTTTTTAGGATTATATTTTCAAAAAATAAAAATCTTGTTTAAATCTTTTAAGATCTCTTTCTAAATTATCCCAATCACTCAAAAATATTGAGAGTTAACCTTTGAGAGTTAAATTTCTCTCCTTAAATCTTTTTTTTTTCATTTAAAAAAATACATACATGTGTGTGTGTGTGTTAATTTAATCTAAAAAAATTATTAAAAGCAAAAAAAAAAGGCTGGATGAAACACAACCCTTGTCCAGCTCACGTACACACACTTTCAGCACACACACAGGGATAGGAAATCACACACAAAAAAAAAAAACTAAAGGAACAGATACAGCCACAGCCCAAAAGAGATGAAGACGACGTGCACGAAAGAAGAAGAAAGCCAAAGACACACAAAAAGACATAGAAACGCAGAAGGAGAACCAAACTGCCACCAGCCGAAACATGCATGCATGCAACAGATAGAGAACGAACCTTTACCTCTGAAAAAGAGAGCGGAGAGCAGGCGAAAAACTGGACACACAAACACGGCCATCAGAACACACGAACACATGAAGAAACCTAAGCTGCAGATGCCGAAAGAACCTGAGACACTCGGTTAAGCACATTACGTAGAGAGCAGAAGGAACACACGAACACAGTAATGCAGAGAGAGACAGCAG